AAATAAATAAATATTATATATATATATATATGAGCATTGATCTAAAGGTCCTTGTGTGGGGATTATATAAAACGGTTTTAACATGTGAAATAGAGTGTCCGCGAAAGATCCGCGATGGGTCCGCGAAAGGAAAACAATAATCCGCGAAAGTTGTTGTGTAATAGATTTGGGCCGTATAGGACTTGTAAGGTATATGCTGTACAAGTCCGACATGCATGCAGGTCGCAAGCTCGCTGTCCCACCATGCTGCGATGCAGTATACCCAAAGCCAGATGGCTCGGCTGCCAGTCCACAAACTGTATTATATACATTTGCACGTCACATCTATAGATATATATATATATGTATGTATAGATACATGTATTTGTTTGTTCATATGCGTACATACATGTGTACATACATCCATATTATCTGCATTTTTTGCGCATGTCGCAGTGTTGCTTTGGCGAACTGACCGCGGCTAGGTGGGTACATGGATAGATACATGACAGACCGCGAACACACATTAGCGTGAAGTGTTTGCTATATGCTAGGCTTTTAGGAGACATCAAAGTCCTTGCACGTACTTATCAGAGCCAAATGTCAAAGAACCTCGTGGTCAGAAATCCGTGCAGCCTCGAACTCGACGGCCTTCCCTGGCTTTAAGGCCATTGTCGGTGCGTGGGAGGCAGATGCGGTCGGCGCAGCCTACATTTTCGAAAGGCCAGGGCCGGGGCTTAGGGTTGAAGGTTTAAGGTTTAGGGTTTAGGGTTTAGGGTTTAGGGCTTAGGGTTTAGGGTTTAGGGTTTAGGGTTTAGAGTTTAGGGTTTAGAGTTTAGGGTTTAGGGTTTAGGGTTTAAGGTGCGACCGAAGCGACGGCCTTGCGCGGGAGGACCTTGGATGGTTGGTCCCAAGCCGTGCGATACGAGCCGACCGGCAACTCCACGGAAGGGGACATGTGCCTTGATGTGCACATCTGCCAATACTCCCACAAAATATTGCTACATGATTTTGGTGTAATGGTTGCCAGAAGGATATTCACCCAGTGTAGCTTGTGGCGGCGACAGGTTCGGCAGCGTGGTGGCGATGTGCCTGAGCTGTTCTGGTACAACTTGAATAACGGGGTATGCCTTCACATTTATGAGATGTGTATCGTGTGCCGGGTGCAAAGCCTGCTTGCTGACCGTTGCAGATCGGGGGACACCGCAGTCGTCGGCGCGCACTGGGACGATGGGGAAGATGTGAATGCCGTCGCCTGAGTAAAGTCCCTCATGTTAGGCAGAAAACACGTGGCAGGAAGTGCCAGCAGCCAAAAATGATCAGCACGTCTCCAACGAGGTAAATGTACCACTGCGAACACGGCAACCACCAGCAGCACCACCACCAACGGCACCAACACCGGCAGCACCATCGGTCTCCAGCAGATGCAGCACCACCGGTCACCAACTAACAGCATCACCGCCGCCACCTCGTCTGTACCCTCCTCCTCGTCGTCGTCGTGCTCGTCCTCCTCCTCCTCAGCCCATCGTATCCATCAGCATCCTGACGCTCTGTTGAAAATCTCATTGTATGTCCTGCCATGACTGGCCCAGGGCGGCGCGGCCTACATCTACACCCGGCCGGGCTCTCGAAACCTCTCGCGGACGACCGGCAGCCGCCTTGCGTGCGGTGTTTGGCAAGCCGAGGAATGCCACGGGCTGGGACCAGGGCATGAAAGTCTACGCAGATGGCACCAGCAAGGCAAAGAGTCGGCTTTGGCGGAGAAGATAGCTTTCTTCTTCAGTTCTGTGTTTTCAGAAGACTTCGATGAAGTTCGATGAGCCATTCAGACTCCCAGCCCAACTCCAGCAACCACTCAATGGCGGTTTTCCTGAGTCTTCTGCTTCTTCTCGACTCTGCGTCTATGCCCCCGTGTGCTTCTGCGTCCACCCCGCCCTTCAGGAAGACCGCTTCGGCATCGCCGTGGACGTGTCAGGCAGCTTGGGGATGCCTTACCCAGAGACTCCAAGACCCCTTAACTAAGGAATATACCTTAAGTTATAGTAGGATCCCTAATATGATTTAAGGTATCTTCCTTAACTAAGGAATATACCTTAAATTATAGTAGGATCCCTGATATGATTTAAGGTATCTTCCTTAACTAAGGAATATACCTCAAATTATAGTAGGATCCCTGATATGATTTAAGGTATCTTCCTTACTTAAGGGGTTTTGGAGTCTCTGGGTAGTGTCCTTCAGTGCCTCGGGGGAGGGTCCGGGTCCGTGTTGTTCCTTCAGTTTCGATGCATGCGTGCGTGTACCGCCGCTATGAGAGAACCTTTGCCCATTTACCACCTTAGGGAATATAGATGGGCTAGTTGGTTATTCCTATACTGGTCTTGGTAATGGAGTAGTAGTGATATAGTTGGTGAGGTGTAGGGGGGAGTATAGGAATGGTGGTATTACACAAAATGGGCTGAAGGGTCCTGCTAACTGTAAACAGCTGCACCGCGGCCCGAGTCATTCTGCAAGTGTTCTTTCTGCAGTTGGAAGCACATCACTGCATTGGCCCAACCTTTCAACCTGCCTGTTCCCACGCACACAAGTGTGGGATGGCGGCGTCCTGTGAGATGCTTTCGCCCGTATCGAATTTGCGCAGGGAACGCCGTGATCATCGGCGCATACTTTGACAGCGACCATGGCATTTGGAGCGGTGCGCCCTTTTGCCAGTGCCCGAAGTTATATCACCGTAGCCGTAGCCCTTAACATAACCCTTCTGCATGCAGGCTTTCTGGGATTTGTGCAATAGAAAAACGGAGGGGGGGGGGCAACATCAGTGGAGCAGGGGCAGCCGGCTTAAATCTCTTTTCAGTCATGCCGGTTCATGCCGGTTCCGGTTGGCGCAGGTTCGGCCTACATCCTTGCGCAGTTGGGTGGGGTTTGGAGCTTCCAGGAGCCGGTTCCAGCGGGTTCTGTGTCTTCAGTCGCCTTTTCAGTTCTCCTACTCAGGTCCTGTGATCTTGTCGTGCTGTTTCTTGAGCCCCAAATCCTGCAAACATGGCAAGCCTGAAGTGCCTCGGAGACACTTCAGGAGAAGCTGACCTGGAGCAACGCATCGGCTGGAGACTTTTTTGGACAGTCTGTGAGCATTTGGGACAGCCGCTCGCTTCCCATAATGTTCTTCAGAGGAGGCTTGATGAGGTCGAGTGAGCTTCGCAGACTATCACTTCTATGCTGGTGGAGATATCATGTTGCAGTGTGCTTGAATATTTAAACCTTACACATTCGTTCGAGCTTCTGCAAAGACCTGCCGGAACCTGACCCCTAGGCCAAGCCGGGCCCTTCACGGCAGCAGTGGGTGCACCGGGCGGAAACTGCAGCCTGGTCTTCGAGGGAGGCCGAGGGCTATGGAGACAGACGTTTGCGTACACATACAGTGCACTTAGGCATGCGGATGTATGCGTGTGTAATAAATAATATGTATATATACATATATATATA